TGTCGGGACCGAGTTCTTTGGATCAGGAGGTTGTACGGATTCTCGAGTCTGCACTAAGACCGTCTACCCGAAAGTCCTACGTGGTGAAGTGGCGTCGTTTTTCATCCTTCGTGGAATCTAGCTTGTCTAACCCACTTACGGCATCGGTTGAGAACATCCTTCAGTTTTTGCTGCACCTGCATCGCTCAGGACTGAATCCCTCCTCAATTAAGGTTTATGCAGCTGCAGTTTCACATTATCGTGGTGTAGTGCAAGGGCTGTCAGTGTTTTCACAGCCGCTTATTTGGAAATTTCTTAAAGGCCTGCAGAATCTACACCCGTCTATTCGACCATTTATGCCGACGTGGAGTCTCTCAGTTGTCCTACAGGCACTTATAAAACCACCATTTGAACGTTAGCTACTCTAGATTTATGCCTTGTTTCATGGAAAACGGCTTTTTTAGTTGCAGTTACTTCAGCTCGTAGAGCCAGTGAACTTTGTGCTGTTCGAATCGATCCACCTTATTTAAACTTCCATAAGGAAAAGGTGGTGGTCCTGAGGATGGACCCTACTTTTTTGCCTAAAGTTGCCACACTATTTCACCTGAACCACGAAATTGTGCTGCCTGCCTTTTTCCTGTCGCTGTCGAACCCAGTCGAGAGGTCCTTGCACACCTTAGATGTTAGACGATGCCTGGCTTTTTATAGGTCGTGCACGGAATCTGTTTGACGTTCCAATAAACTTTTTGTAAAGTATTCTGAGTGAGACCAAGGATCGCCTGTTTCGTCTCAGAGGCTGTCAAAATGGATCGTTCAGACCATTTTGTTGGTGTACCAACTCTCAAAGCTGGACTTACCTGTTGTTCCAAGGGACCATTCCACTAGAGCGGTCTCAGCTTCCTCTGTGTTCGCTGCGGATGTCCCAATCCAGGATGTCTGTAAGGCAGCAACTTGGGCTATGCCTTGTACTTTCACGAAGCACTATTGTCTTGATGTGCGTGCCAGACGAGACTGCTCATTCTGGAGGGCTGTTCTTTCTGCCGTCCTTCAGTAGCGACACCTCCCGCCACCGTTTCTGGTAAGCTTGCTATTCACCCATATGTGTGATGCACAGAGGCCATGACAAAGAAAAGCAGGTTGCTTACCTGTAACTGATGTTCTTCGAGTGGCCATCTGTGCAGTCACACAACCCACCTACCAGCCCCGCTCAGTTTCGGTGAGTGGTTTCGTTGTCGGTACCGTATCATACTGCTTCGGTACCTCATACTGTTAATGTTGGTACCAAGCGGGACTGTGTCGGTACATACTAGGTTGTTATGCCGTCTTATTCCATGGTGTGGCAACGGTCTCCAAAGATTGGAGAAAATGGCGGACACTCCGCTCTATATATACTACCAAGGGGAGAGGGAACGGAGTTTTTCCTGCCAAAACCGTTAGCTTTCAATCTTTCCGGCCTGAGTTTTTTTCTTCTTCTTCTTCTAACTGCTCCTATTGCCTAATGCTATTTCCTTCCTTAGTTAGGAAATTCATTTGTTGTTGTTGGAGTATACTAATTTTTACTTACATATATCAATTTCTATGTAATTATACATTTTGTAAGCTTTTGATACTATCTTACATGCTATTAAGCGTGTGAATTTGTTAGTGGTAGAAACATCAGTCAGTCTTGCTTATTTAGATTATCTGATATTTTGGAAAAGTAGGCTAATGAGAGTCAAATGTTTACTAGAAAATAAGAAGCTTTTTTATCAGCCTCCCTTTCCACAAAAAGCATCCAGTTTTCCAGAATTTAAGTAATCCCAGTTTCGTTATGCAGAGGGAGGATGAGAGTAGCCATCTGGTGTTAGATTACTTTTTAGTTCCTTGGGTTCTTGAAGCATAAGAACAGAGGTAACAGTATTGCTGGCAGAAGCTTGCCAAAGTTTCAGGTGGATGATTTCCTAACCCTACTTGGAGATGCTAAGGATTGAACTTGGATCTTTCTACATACATAGCATGTTTTCTCCCACTTAAGCCATAATCCCTCTCTGGCTGCTGGGTTTGGGTGCTGTGAAAGAGGTATTGGATTGATGGAATACAGATCTGTTACAGGAAAGCTCTATCAAGTTTTGTGTGTCCTTTTTCATGACCTACCATGACCTGTTTCAAAAATAGTTATGACATACCAGCTAATAGTTTGTAGTTACTGCATGGAGGTAGCTGAGCTGATTCATTGTCTGTCTTAACTTGAAAGGGCTTGATGAATCAAGGGTGAATTGCACAAATGAATTCCTAAAAGAATGTTTTGCTGCTGAATTGTTGTCCATGTTTTTCAAACTGCCTGTTCTCTCTGCAGATGAGTACCTTTGGTTTCTCTTCTATCATTTCTGCAAATAAGCGTTTCATGTCAAGGATCAGATGAATGTGGCGACTATGTAGATTTTTCTTGAAGTGTGCTGATTTGCACATGCTAACTTTATTATTTAATATAAAAATAGGACTTTAGCACGAATTCAGAAAAAGATATTCTAAAATAATGGTGTTTTAGTTAAATGCATATGATTACATCCATAATTCTTAAAGAGAATGCATGTGCTTGATTGTTTCTGATGCCCTTCTCACTGTAGCTTCCCATGCCCCCTTCACAAATCCTTTCTGAGGGCCCCTAATTTTTTTAGATTTTTTTTTTTTTTTTTTGGCAGTATGCAGTTTAAAGGGGGAAATGCTTGTCTTGTGGCAGGACTTTGTCAATCCAGGCCACAGTGTCATGTGGTCTGGTGTTGTTTTGACATTCCTTTATGCTTAAGTTTCTCCATTTTTCCATTCATTGAGGAATGGATGGAAGCTTTCCCCATCCTATCTGATGGTGGAAAAGTTGTGTGTGTTTTTTTTTTTTTTTTGCAGGGGGGAGAATATGTATTCCATGAACACACTGGAAATTTAAGGTGAACATACTGGGACATAGTGGTTTTACTTTTAATAAAAGATGTGGAAAAGCGCTAAAAGTATGCTTGTGAAATTGTTTATCAGGTTGTAAAACCATTGTATAAAACTTCAGACTAGGTCTTTAGATTTATTTAGTGTAAATCCAAAGCTTAATAAACCAGCTTGTATGCAAGGAACCTGTTAGTGTATATAACTTTTTCTCTTTGTACTAGCAGGCATGCTAGCTATGATGGGGATAGCTTATGACATTTGAACTTGAAAATATGATTTAGTATCCCCAGCCAAACTGGGATTCATAAACAAGCATCAATTATTATTATTCTGTATTTCATTTCTATAGTGCCAGTAGCCAAAGCTCTCAGAATGGTTAGCAATAATTCATGCAATAGAGTAAAATGAAAAATATAAATACAGTGGTACCTTGGCTCATGAACTGTTCAGCTTGCGACCAAATAGGGTCACGAACAGAAATTTCAGAAAAATTTTGGCGCAGGTCGCGAGCTCCGCATCGGGTGACGATCGCAATTGCGTCCGTCTTCCCTGTATGGGCGCGATCACAGTTGATCGCAGAACTTCAAAACAACTAGACATGTTAAGAGTAGTAGTAGCTCACCTTAGCTTTCATACTATTTAAAGCCATTAAATGTCTCAGCATAGAGGGCAGTTTTACCATGTTACTGAAAGGAAGGATAGCGAAGTTGGCAGAGGAATTTCCTGTAATAAAAGAATCTCCCTGATCTGGAATCATCTTATGATTGCAGTCTATCAACAGTCTAAATCTTGGTCTGAATCTCAGCAAGCAGTGATTTGACCATGACAAAGGAACTGATTTGAGATTCCCCACTTTCAGATCACTTCCCCCATGCCTAGCTGGGGGAGTAGAGCTTACATTGTTAAACGTGTTGGATCCATGACATGTTGAAACAGACCCATGGCTGTTATGCAGTCCATAAAATCCTGAGCTGTTCCATGGATGTTAACATTTCCCAACTTGACACCCTGAGGAACTTCAGCATTGCAACCAAGGCAGCCTTGGTTAGCTCAGTAGAGAGACTCCTGGACAATACAAGAACAGAATCTGCAATCTGTCCTGCTGAGGCAGCACAAGGTGCTGATATTCCAGACTAGGATGCTGGAGAGGTGAATCCTTGATGCATGTCAACATTTCTCCCAAACCATGGAGAAAAGAGGAAAGCATGTGTCATTTCCACTGTTGCCCTGAATTTCAGAGTCACTCAGCACAATTACCATTAATTCTTCATCTCCAGGGTTGGGAGAAAGTGTGACTGTGTTAAAGAAACAAGCACTAGACCTACACTTAAGCTCTGAGCTGGATGTAGGAGGGGAGTGGCAAGGGCTTGGCAATGGACTCTGTCCATTGAGGGTGTCCAGGCACCACAGAAACAGAAAAGTAGCCCTCCCTTACGCAGCTTGAACCTGGAAAGGAAGACCAGGACTTGCTCTTGTGCTATACTTGCAAGGTGCTAAGAATGTCTTTCAAGTTCAACATGATTCCAAGCAAAATCCCACCTACTCCTTAGTTCCAAACTTGAAGGAGGGGAGGAAAGCAGTGGTCTGTTCCTGAACTCATACTGCATTTTTGAGACACAATACAAGATCAGACACAAAATGTGGATAGGAATGACCAACTAAGGGCAGCAAAAATGTATGTACCAGTTTTCACATTTGCAGTTCCTTACATATTCTAAAATATACCTTCACTTTTCTTTTTATGGCTTCCCTTTAAATATCTTGAGCCACAGAATTAAAACACCACCACTACCAGAATAATGTTTCAGGGAATCTAATGGTGCACAATAGCAAAATGTTGTAAAACCTGTACAACCTTTCTCTAAAATAAGTAAAAATACAAATTTCTATTTTGGTTTGTTAAAATTTCAGATACTTTTTTTGTTAACTAAAACATGCTTTGATGCAGAAGGATCTTAAGTTGCAATAACTGATACCACTGCAGATCAGTCATTGCTCACCCAGAGCTTGTTGATATTATTTTGCTCTATCACTTTGACTGGTTGTCAGACTTTTTGTTTTCCCTCCAGCTGTAGGTGCTCATCACTCTTAATTTTCTTTTTCAGTTTAAGCTATGGAGGAGGACATCCATCTCCCTCGGAAACAGATCTTCTTCACCGCCAAACATTCACAGCTTCTCATCAGCTTCCTGCATATGCTACCACACCTCATTCCACTGGTAATAGCTTCAGTTTAAAGCATACATTTCTGACTTCTGTATAAAGTCAAGTACATGTGTGATAGATGTCCATAAGATATAGAACCCATTTGCTGGAGAGTGTTTGAAGGGTTTGTTATTATTTATTAACTAATATTTATGAAACATAAAAACACTGTATCAAAGTTAGAAGAGGCAGTGGCATATAATTGTGCCTTCTGGATATTGCCATTATCTATCTCATCAAATTAAAATGTATAAATGTTTTAAATAATGTATCTTTCCTGTTTTCTGGGTCCCTGCTTGCCTGGAATATTGAAGATCAAATTTCTTTACCCTAGAAATATGAACAGTTTTTAAAAGTGAAAACTAAATATGCAGCTTTTTTCAAAGAAAGTGCTGCTATTCTTATGCTTTTTAAAGTTAGATGTCTGATTCATACATGTGCCTTGATACAGATCTGTACAGTTCAAGGTAGTTATTTTAAATAGAAGTTAACAGTTCAGGATGTAGTTGATGCTATATGACATTGGTGATACAATTAATCTAGTGGATTGGATTCAGTTTTGCCCTTCCACAAATGGAAGAGTTCTTTCTTTCATGGATGGGGCCAAGATCCAATGGGAACTCCTTATTAGAAGAAAATGGGGAGGGCTCATGCTTCATGATTCTATTTTTCTTCCTGAAACTCCCAGTGCCGCCTCACATACTGTTTAGGAGGATCCCCAATCCTCTAGAGCAGTTTTTGCACAGGCATAAGGCAGCAGAAGAAAGATAGAATCAGCTAATATGTTTTCCCACCATCTTCCAGTGGATAGTCTATATCCAATGCAATGTAAATGCAAAATGTATTTAGATATCTGTATCTAGCTTCACTCCCACTATTGTTAACCAGTCCTTCTCCTCTTCCCTGTTTATTCTTTGTAGTAAACCCGTGTGCTTAATTAGCTGGGAGATAATAACCTACCCAGGATCAGCCAGTGGCATCTTATAGTTAAACTTCATAGCTAATAAATGCATGGTTGGGTACTTAAATGTGCATGTGTAGTTCCCTATTAACTCACATTATTGTGAAAAGTTAACAGGATTCAGGATCACACTTATATATTATGTTTGTTGTTTATAGGTCTTTCTGGAATTTTTGATAACACTATGCACAGTGGCAGTAGCAACACTAAAGAAACATCAGTTATGAATTTCCTCTCCGCAATTGAATCCCGCAATGCTCAGGCTGTTTCTTCAGGAACCACTCTCTTACCACAATTTAGGGCTCCAGCATGGCAGCCAGGTGACATTTTCCTAATTTGGGGTATTCATGGCAATAGTTTCCCTGTAAAAGTTTTAAAGATTAATAACATAATATTAAAATTTCAATTGTTTTTCCTCATCATTCTACCATGAGATGTACCTTTTATGAAAAATATCCTTTTTCATATAAAAAAGTTTCACATCTTAATTAATCAAGTATTTTGACAACCCATATTGGTTTTACTGACATGGCAATGGAGTTAAAATGCTATTCTGAACTACTTAATTTATTCCTTTCCAAATACTGTATAATCTCATAAATATGTTTTATCTTCCTGTAAAACTGGTATAACTTCCTTGAAAGGCAAGATGGGTAACTAAACATCTGTCTCAAAGCTAGTCTTGGATCAGTCTAACATGAGACTTCCTGGGAGTGATAGTGTATCAGTTTACAGTATTTTGTTATACTCCTTGAGATCCTCAGGCTAGAAGTTAAGTTACTGTATGCAATAAAAAAAACTTTTCTCATGTATTTCAAAAACTGGGCATAAAATTGGTGGCTTGCTAGCTTCTTAATGTTAGGCTTGTATTGTAACATACTCATAGCAAATGCAGACTTTCTGGAAGTCATGAGTACTATGAACATCCCAGTCTGTTGTTTTAAATAAGTATCTTCACTGAGGAAAGTGCTGCATAACTGTTTATTGGTCAACACAGAACCCTTAAAACTAGAAAATTCATTACCTATATTCCACAGGCAAGTCTAGAGGAAGTAACTCAGTCCTGTAAGTAAGCCCCCGAAGGTTTGCAAAATATTTTTCTAGACTTCTGGGTGCATGCAGAGAGTTTCTCCTTGTTAGCTTCTCTTCTGTACCTGCCTGCTTGGTGCCTGTGCTGGGCACAGAAGAGGGATGGAGTGTTCTGTCTCTCCTCTGGTAGTTTATTCACTCATATGGAACTCCATGTGTTCTGCTGTGCATATCAAGCTACTGCCTTAAATGCAGTGGTGCAATAATTGTAACACAGTATCATATTGGAAGGGCTTCCAATCCAAGACTGTTGTTACGCAAATATGTGCAATAGAACATACTGTTGTTTAACAAGTTAGAGCCTTTTGTTATGTGGTGGGATAGATTCATGCATGATTTCTAAATATATTGTTTATGCCTCATTGATTTCAATACAATTACAGTGGTACCTTGGCTCATAATCTGTTCCACAATTCTGGTCACGACCCAAATTGGTCACGAGCTAAGTCAAATTTTCCCATAAGGTTCAATGTAAATAAGGTTAATCCGTTCTTTACCATAACTTTATGTTATACATAGAGAACAGCATATACAAGTTTTAAATAAATAAATAAATAAATATGTAACAATTTTTTTAACCACAAAAATATAGTATGAGCCACGTCCCTGGGCTGCTAGCCAAGCCACGGCTGCCTCGCTGAGCCCAGGGGTGGGGAGGGGCCTTGCTCAGCCAGCCCCAGCCCCAGCCCTTGCCTCCCCTCAGCCTGCGGACGTGGCCTTCTCTCAGTTGTGGGGGAGCCATCCTGCAGCCACCTCTCCGGCCTCCCACTCCTGCTCTTTCTCCCAGAGCTGGGTGAGCAATTGCAAGGGGATCCTCCTCCAGCTTGGAAGCGGGGCCGCAGTGAGGAGCCAGGAAGGCCTCAACAGAGGTGAGCACGCCCTCATGGTTCCCCCTCGTGGTGGGTGAGGAGAAGGTTATTGTTTGGAGTGTCCGTGCAGGGAAGATGGCTGCAATCATGATCATCAGCCGATGAGGAGTTCGTGACCTGAGGCAAATTTTTTCTGAAATTTCTGTTCCCAACCTGATTTGGTCATGAACTGAGGCATTTGTGAGCCGAGGTACCACTGTATATATGTATGTGTTAAAATCTACACTGAATATCTTGGCAATTATCTTATTTATATTTTCTTTAACAAAGTGGCTTACAAATCTAAAAATAATAGAAAGACATGGTATAACAAATCACAAGCAATAAATCATGAAAGCAAAAAAAAAAAACAATAAAGCAGCAGCAGATTCAACATTTTCTACAACACAACAAACTGATGGTATAATCACAGATTTAGAAACTTACTAAAATAAAAACATCTGCAACGTATGTTTAGGAGATACTGTGAGGGACTCTGTTGGATCTCCATTGGAAAGGCATTCAATTTGTCAACACCCATTCACTCCTGTCCTGCCACCAGACACCAGCAAATAGGTAGGATAAAAAAACCGTAACGAATTCCTGGAAGACAATTGTCCCATCATCAGCTTCTGTATTAATAGAGTATTGTAATGAATGTTGTCCAAATAAAGTGTGCTTGTTTATTACTCGCTTCAGTGGTTGGGTGGGAGTTTTACACTTTCATTAATATCGTACCCCTTTTTCTCTGTCCCTTTTAAAACAGGAATGCATTCATCAACAGAGCTTTTTGTTACTGGAGCATTGCCAGCCTCTGGAACCTTTCCATCTACTTCAGCTTATCAGCATCCCAATGCTTTTAGCAGTAGAAACTTTGCTACTACCCCTTCTCTGCCCCTTCAAGATGCAACTTTCAGTGCAACATCTAATGGGCTGCTAACTGCTCATGACCCTTTATTGCAGATCAAGACATCCCAAGGCACAGTTCCTGCTGCATTGACATTTGAGCGCCTGGGCAGTTCTGTGTTAAGTACCAGTATACCACCACAGTCTTCAACATATCGCTCTGCTCAAGAGTCTGCACCCCATCTTTTGCAGCCACAGTTCAGTTTGTTGCCTTCATCACTTGGAGGAGCTCAGCAGGCTCCACAGGTATATAGTTCAACTCTGTTTACTGGTTCTACTGCCTCCATTGAAAGAGCACTGCAGCGAGAATGCAGTGTTATCAAGCACCATCAGCGGCCTTCAAGCACACAGTCTGTCCAGGCACAACTGACTGGTTCACAACATTCCCTACACAACTATTTGTCAAGTGCAAGTGGAACTGATTTTCAGGATACTTCACGGCAGTCATCCCTATCTTGTAGCCCTGTTGGAGATGCTACTCAGGTGAGCAGTGGTGGACCACAGCAGAAGGCCTCTCAAGTTTCAGTAGAACTTGCTCAGTCATATACATCAGCACTTCCATCTCCTGGTTTTCCCTCTGTTTCCACTGCAAAGGCAAAACAATGTTCTACAAAGCAGCCACCAAGGTCAACAAAGACCCCTAAGCCACAAAGTGTAGACCCTACTGTGCAGACGCAAAGCTATTCCAAAACTGCACAGAGTCAGAATTCTGTAATAGCAAGTCAAGCACAAATCTATTCTACAGCCCAGCTTCCAAGCCTCTTGTCAGTAAGCCAATCACAAAATTATGTTTCAACACAGTCGCAGAATGTGCCATCTGTCAGCCATGCACAAGTATTCTCAACCATCAAAGTTGAGAAGCTGCCATCATTGTACAAAACACTTGCTTTTGCTGGGCCATCTCAAGCTATTACTTCTGATAGTCAGACACTAAGTTATTCTTCAGATCAGCAGGTATTGAATACAGTTTCCAATGATAACTACTCTGGGCAAACAAGGGATCTTTCTGCAGACAGCCAATCTCAGAATTATTCTTCAGGTCACTCTCAGGGTTTATCAACAGTTAGCCAATCAGAAGTTAACTATTCATCTCAGTCACAAGTTTTGTCAGTTGTTAGTCTTTCAGAAACCTATACAACAGGGCAATCTTTAACATCACCATCCCTTCCATTTTCTTCCTCTCCTCATACTCAAAATATGTCATCCTCTAGCTCTCCCCCGAACTATATTTCTCTACATTCTCAGCCTCAAGAGTCATCTTCCCCACAGAAGTTTTTGCCAGTTGTCCAGTCAACTCCTTTTGTAATGCCAGGTCACTCACAAGCATTACAGAACAACAGATCTTCCTCAGATACAAAGTCCTACGTTAAAAGGAAATCTGACCCTAACTTGTATCAAACATCTAAACAAGAAGATCAGTTCCCAATGCAAGATTTGCAGGCATTACAACAGCAAACATCTCTTGATTCCTCCCCTCAAAGGTTAAATGATGGTGAAGTTAGCGCTCAGGATACAGCTTACAAAGTTTCCAAAGCAGATAATCGGTATTCTCAAAGTGTAATCAGAAGCAACTCTCGCCTTGAAGATCAAGTTGTTGGGCTTACTCTTCAGGGATCAAAAAAAGATGAAAGAATGGTTAGCTCTGCAGCACAGCTCACCCAACAAATTGGCCATATCACTAATGTAGTAAGCCATGACATTAAAAAGGCAGCTAATTTATTGCCAACAACCCAAGTAAATGTGGAAGGTAAAGAACTAAACGAGCAGCATTCTCTTCTGCAAAAGGTACATGAAACTAAAGTCTCAGAGCAACAGGGCCAAGTTATTAGCACAGCACCACAGCTGCACACTCAGGCCATAAGGCACAGCCATCAGCTATGCTTACCTAGTGCACAGGTTCTCCTAGAATCTGCCTGTGATTTACAAATGCTTCAGCAGTCAATATTGCAGTCTGGCTTAGGGCACACAAAAATTTCTGCACAAGCACAGCGCATTCAGAGCTCTCAACAGATGACTCACTCATTTCTTCAGGTGGATGGTCACATGATTCAGAGTAATGGAGGTCATTCTCAGCAACAGCTTCATTCTCAAAACTCTGAAGTTATGAAAATAGACATTTCCGAGCCATCAAAGCCACTTCAGCAACACTTGACAGCAAAAGATAATTTTGTGCAGCAAAATCATGAATCCAAGAATCAGTTTGTTACCCTTAGTTCTGTATGTTTTCCAGAGTCTATGCTCCTTAATGATGAGAGGAATATACTGTCTAATGTCGATGATATTTTGGCGGCAACTGCTGCAGCATGTGGTGTAACTCCATCTGAATTTGCCAAATCAACATCTAATCCAGAAGAAATTCAGGCTGTTGAAAATAGGGATAATTCCAAGTCTCAGTTTCAGACAGTAGATGTCAGACATGTGACTCCTAGCTTCAGTGCCTCACCAACAGTTGTTGGAAAGCCATTGAACATAAATAATATTTCATTGAACGGAGGGCAGATTACTCTAAACCTAACAGCAGTGCCTACGGTGCAGCCAAAAAATAGGAGCCTTGACCAACAACAGATGGAGACTCCTGATCAAAGTATTCCCAGTAGAGTTGCCACATCAGATCTTGAAAGGAGGCAGGAACAGGTTTCTGGTCTAGTTAAACAGCAGTCTAGCACCAGTAATGAATCAGAAGTTAAAAATGATGTTAATATGGATGGTACACTAAGTATGAAGGCTATCAACCTTGTTTCAAGTGGTAGGATTCTAAATGAAGAGAGTGTAGGATCAAATAGTGATTTTAATATGGAGAAAGACAATATAATGACAGGTAGCAAGGCTAAAGTCCCATTGCAACCAATATCTATGCAACAGCCAAGAGATGAAAATGGTAATAAAGCTGAAGATGAAAGCCATAATTTATTACATGAGGACCTTCAGAAGCAAAAAGACAGAGGACAAAATCAAGTTAAAAACGCTAATGAGGATGACATAAACCAGAAGCAGCTAAAGCGAAGTGCACAAGGTAAACGTCAAAATCCAAGAGGAACTGATGCCAACTTATTATATTGTCCAGTTCCTGAAAGCTGCCATGAAACTTACCAACATCAAGAAAAAATGAGGCAGAAAATTAAAGAGGTGGAAGAAAAACAGCCAGAAGTCAGAACAGGATTCATCGCATCTTTTTTAGATTTCTTAAAATCTGGACCCAGACAACAGTTTTCAGCTCCTGCTGTCCGTGTGCCTAATCGTGTAAGGAGACCTGTTACTCCAGTTGTTAGAACACCTTGTCTGCATCCCCTTTCAAAACCACAGACTGTGACAACTCCTGCATCCCTTGAAAGCAGTGTTGAAAGTTCAAACAAAAAGGGTAATGGGGAACCTAAGAGAAATTCAGAAGCATTGCCTTCATTTTCCTCTGATGAAGATTCTGTAGGGGGCAACCAGGATCTTCAAAAGAGCATCACTTCTGCATTATCAACTTTGGATGATACTTCTGACAAAAAGAAAAAGCCAGGTAAAATTATTATCCTAGCACTTTAAACTGAATTCATGACTGACTCTGTTTTAAAGTGACTTTAAGTAAAAGATATATATTTATTAATCTCTGTCCAAAATGTTGTCAGCAAATATCTACCCAGTTGGCTGTTCTACCAGTAAAAACGTCTAAACAAACCAAAATTCCTTATGATGTGTTTAGTGTAACATCTCTAATGGGAACTCTGGCTTCTTGCTGTCCTGACAAGCCAGAGTTATATGCCAGGCTTATGTGATGGATTATGACTCAGGATTGTTAGAGAGCAACAAGCCAGAGCTCCCACTTTAAACACGATAATAATTGTACTACAGCTGAAGAGTCCCTGGCTTGCTTAGCTATTCCCATTAGAAGGAAGAGCTGAGTGAGAGTGCTCAGGCAGCACAAACAGACGTGCTGTTTCGTTCACAAAAAATTATATATGAATGGTCTCCACTATTGTAACATGTTTGCACTAAATTTAAGCAGTTGTTCTGTTTATACGGCTCACTTTAGTTCCTTACCTAAGCTAAACAGCCTGCCGAAAGAGTCAAAATTCTACCCCAGAATATCTGAGATAGCCTTAAGTTTACCCCAGACTTTAAAAGTATGTGTGCGTGCATTCTATTTTTTCTTTGAATATTCTGAATATTTGGCTTCTTCCATGTGGGCAGGGCATTTTTTAAATTTGTAGATAACTTGGTGATATTTAGGGGGTGTTAAACTTTATATTTTCTTTTGTTTTATATTAAACTTTAATTAAAAGCAGTTCTGTCATGCATTTACTTTATCCACTGAATTAGCTAATGCCATCAGTGGAACTAGTGTTTTAGTCTATGCACTAACAATTTCTGGATGGTTTACCATAGGCTGAAAAAGATCTTCATATTCTAAATACTAAAATAAACTGAAGTTTTTATTGTTAAGACTGCTTTTTTTGTACTTCAGAAATAGAGAAGACAGTTCCTAAAACCACTGCAAATACTGTTGTAAAGAAAGAATCTTCCAGTATGACTATTCCTGTGACAGATCCTCAGGTGAAAATCTGCTTAGCACAATCTGAACGGGAAGGCAGTGATACAGACCACTTAGCAAAAACCCAGGCATCTGTTGCAATAGAAGGATATATTGAGGATGACAGTGGAGACAGTGGAGGCGAAGGCATGTACAGAGAACGGGATGAATTTGTAGTGAAGATTGAAGATATAGAATCACTGAAGGTAATTTACAAATTTTGTTTTAAGCAGTTTAAACTTAATACATTTGCTAAAAAAAAAACTTACTCTGGTATAATGTAATTTTATCTCCGTTTTTCTTGGTATAGTAAATATATTGTAGCTTTCACTTAGCCAGTCTCAGATGTAAATTACATGTGATTCTTTTCAAATGACTCATGTTTAGAGTTTATAAGAGGTATATATTTCTTTTCAGTTTTGTATACAATTTTGTATACTGTTATTTTGTAATTATACAGATAATTGTATATGAAATAGTCAATTAGTTGGAACTAATTACTGCACATATATAAAGTCATAAGCTGTCAAGTGCGTGTGCAACATAAGCTAAGTGAAACTGGTGATTTTCACTTTGGTCCTTGTAGGCTGCATTAAAAACAGGAAAGGAGCCTCCAGCTATCTGGAAAGTTCAAAAAGCTTTGTTGCAAAAATTTGTTCCTGAAGTGCGAGATGGTCATAGAGAATTTGCAGCTACTAACAGTGTAAGTACAAATACTCAATTTGTATTATGACAAATATTTGACTTATTTTTTATAAATTATATTTTACACATTTTAACTTGAAATCTGTAAAAAGTATTTATTGAATTGTATCCAGTTTTTTCATTAATGGGACCTGTAGTTGCACAAACTGTTTCAGCCTGCTTCTCTCCCGTTTCCCTTTCCTGTTATAAGTCCTTCTAGAAGCAAAAATAACTAGAAACAAAAATGACAAAACTGAGGCTGTTGTACTTTGGGCACATCATGAGAAGGCAAGACTCACTGGAGAAGCCAGTCATACTAGGGAAAGTCCAAGGCAGAAGAAGTAAAAGAAGACCAAAAAATGAGATGGGTTGGCTCTGTAAAGGAAGCCACACCCTTGGGTTTGCAGGGGCTAAGCAGGGCCATCACAGATGGGGCATTTTGGAGGGTTTTTGTTCATAAGGCCACCATAAGTGACTTGATGGCACATAACAACAACATTATAGCCCCTCTGCCATATTCCAGTATTTTCCTGAAGGTTTTGGGAAGTGCAGGAGGTTGCAGTGGTTGTGGGAAAGCCACATTGCACAAGTAGCCTTCCGCTTATGCAAGGAATGGATAGAACTCATTGTTTCATTTGATGTTTACTGCCTGCTCTATAATACCAACATTGCACATAAGTACATTATGGATTATGTCCTTTTTTCTTGCAGTATCTTGGGTATTTTGGAGATGCAAAATCAAAGTACAAGCGAGTATATGTGAAGTTTATAGAAAATACAAACAAGAAAGAATATGTTAGGGTGTGTTCTAAGAGACCAAGAAATAAACCTGTACAATCTGCAAGGTATTTGATTTATTTACATCTTTTCTGAGTATTGTTGTTTGATTCTGACAGTATTTAGTACTTCAGCAGGATCACAAGACACTGACTTTTCTGGACTTTAAAGGAAACTATTTGTGTTTTGCAAGCAAAGAAGTGGTGGGTGTGAAGCACACAAATCTAGTAATCACTCTGTTTGTTGCCTATCCTCTAACTATGCCTTCCCTATCCAGGTGTGGTCCAGATGTTTTGGATTGCATCTTCCAGCATTCTGGTCCATTGGCCATGCTGGCTGGGACTGATGGGAAGTGAAATCCAAAACAGCTGAAGGATAGTGGAAAACTGGCGTAGAAGATCATTTGGACCAGTTTATTCTCTGTTCTAATGGAAATGTAATTTTATGGGGGTGTCATTCATTCAGAATTGTGCAATGTTATTCACTTTTTTTTCCAGCTAGTATCATTCTTAGTGCTTTCCCTTTGTATGGGTTTTTGCTTGCTATTGGATGGGAAATTACATTCATTCTTCCCTTAACAATTAAAATACTATCCCTTCAAGATAGTCTTTAACCAGCATATTGTTTGTTGGGAGGAAGCTGCCCAGAGAACCAACTGGCTAATGGACAGGGTAGAAGTTTAATAAACAAAATAATAAATAAGGTTGTGTATATATATGTGATCTTAAAGACATGAGACTGGCACATAACTGGATGACTAGGCCCAATATGAGGTGTACTTGTCTTTAAATAAAAGAGGAGGTCAGGAGTCATTCCTCATTAAAAACTTAACACTGAAATGAATTTTTAAAAATCAAGCTAGTGCTTGTAACAGTATGTTTCAGTTCTTCTCTCTGGTTTGTAGGACTATTCATTGCAAGCCAAACACTAGCATCAACAAAGTTCCTGATTGCCCAGCACCAAAAACAACAACAGTAACAACAAAAGCTGCTTCAGTGAAACCCAAAGCTAAACAGCCAAAGATAAAGGCTGAACCACCACCAAAGAAACGAAAAACATGGAAAGAAGGATTCCCCTCTGCTCCTCAACTCCAGAGTGATGAGGAAGGTAAATGCCATTATTTCAAAAGTACTTATATTTTTATCTCTGAAATATCACTTAAGCAGTATGTGCTTTCTACATTTTTTGAAAAATAACTGTAGAATATTAGGAGCATTTGACTTCATAAACTTTAATTTACTGTCTTGTCCTACAACAATGTTGATGGTTTCAAAGCTCCTATTGGTGAGGAAGTACAAATTTTTCTATATTGCTTTAGAGTATGCTAACCATTTCTTTCCATGCGTATTGGTTGCGAGGCCCAATGTGTTTCCAGGCCCAATTCAAAGTGCTGGTTTTAAGCCTTAAAGCCCTAAATGGCCTAGAGCCAGGCTAGCCAAAGGAGAGTATGCTGCCTTACATACCTACCCAGACTGTCAAGTTATCATCAGATGCCCTTCTCTAGGTACCTATGCAAAATGAGTACCTGGAGAGGAATCATCAGGATGGCAGGCTGACAAGCGGGGTCCCCCAGGGCTCTATTCTGGGACCGAACCTGTTCAATCATTTCATCAATGACTTGGAAGAGAGGGTGACTAGTCTGCTGATCATATTCGCAGATGATACTAAAATGGAGGCAGCGGCCACAACTGAGGAGCAAGTACTCTGGATCCAAAAAGATCTGGACAGACTATGGAAGTGGGCCAGGGACAACAGGATGGTGTTCATTGTGATAAGTGCAGGGTCTTGCACTTGGAGTATAGGAATGGGTGTCATAAGTACAGGTTAGGGGACAAGTGGCTGGAGAGCAGCACTTGTGAAAAGGATCTTGGAGTACTGGTGAACTGCAGGCTAAACATGAGTCAGCAGTGTGACACAGCAGTCAAGAGGGCAAATGCCACCTTTGGTTGCATAGCCAGAAATGTGGCTTCTAGATTGAGAGAGCTGTTGCTAACACTCTATACAATTCTGTTGCGTCTGCCACTGGAGTATTGTTTTCAGTTCTGGGCTCTACATTACAGGAAGGATAGAGCCTGGTTGGAATCAGTGCAGCACAGGGCCACAAGGATGGTGGCTGGTTTGCAGGGTAAGCCATATGAGGAGAGACTGAGGGAACTGGGTCTTTTCAGCCTTGAGAAGAGGAGACTCAGAGGGAGACCTGTTAGTGACATATAGGTATGTCAGGGGGTGTCACATAGAGGTGGGTCTTGACCTTTTTCCCCCTGTAGTTGAGGGCAGGATGCATTCCAGTGGAGCAAAGCTTAGGGAACCAAGATTCAAGTTAGATGCCAGGAAGTACTTTCTGGTGGTTAGGACCCCTAGGGTAAGGAATGGGCTTCCACGGGAGGTTTTTGAAGCCCCATCAGTGAGGGTGTTTAAGGATAGGCTGGACATGCACATGGTAGGTATGTCATGAGTAGAGCTGGCAAGAGCCAAGGGTCAGACTAGATGGCCCAGGAGGACCCTTCTGACTCACTCTGTTTTGGTGCTTTTATGTTTCTAAAATGAAGTGGGGCAGCTAGCTACAGGAATCTTTTCAACGGTGACACCTCATCTGTAGAATGCCCTTCCCAGAAATGTCCACCAGGCCCCTACTGTGGTCTTTCAGTTTCAGCTGATGTGTTTTATTCTCCCAGACATTTAAGAACTGATTTTGTATTTTTATTTCTTAGTGCTCCTTTATTTTCCTACTGATTTTTCCCCTTTGGTTTTATTTACTTTAGTGTTATTTAGCTTATGGTTCTAGTTTTTTCTTGGTTTTCATGGGCATTGCTTTTATCATTGTTTCATTTTTTGTAATTTTTTCTTAATGTACTGTACACTGCCTAAGGAACTTCAGCTATTGAATGCTAAATAATAACTAAATTTAGCAAGACAGAAGGCTTATGCAGACATTAACCTGGTTCATCTATAATGACAACCAAATATGAGTTGAATTGTGGGTTGCTGTTGAATCATAGGTTGTTCTTACCTGCAAACCCTGTACTGTGGTTTAATTATGGCTTGTGGACAACAGGCAAACCATCAAGAAATCCCACAGGTTGTTGTTGAGTTATGAAATCTGGCTATTTTGGTGATTGACATAGTTCAACCACAGTGCAGATGGGGAAGAAATGGAGGTAGTGACAGATTTTATTTTCCTGGGCTCCAAGATCACTGCAGACGGGGACTGCAGCCAAGAAATTAAAAGACGCTTGCTCCTGGGGAGGAAAGCTATGGCAAATCTAGACAGCATACTGAAAAGCAGAGACATCACCCTGCCAACAAAAGTGTGTATAGCCAAGGCTATGGTTTTCCCAGTTGCAATGTATGGCTGTGAAAGCTGGACCATAAGGAAGTCTGAGCGCCGAAGAATTGAGGCCTTTGAATTGTGGTGCTGGAGGAGACTTCTGCGAGTCCCCTGGACCACAAGGCGATCAAACCGGTCAGTCCTAGAGGAGATCAACCCTGACTGCTCTTTAGAAGGCCAGATAGTGAAGATGAAACTCAAATACTTTGGCCACCTAATGAGAAGGAAGGACTCTCTCCTGGAGAAGAGCCTAATGCTGGGAACAATAGATGGCAAAAGAAGGGGACGGCAGAGAATGAGGTGGCTAGATGGAGTTAGTGAAACAGTTGGTGTGAGCTTAAGTGGACTCTGGGGGATGGTGGAAGACAGGAAGGCCTGGAGGAATGTTGTCCATGGGGTCGTGATGGGTCGGACACGACTTCGCAACTAACAACAAGTGCAGGGTTTACACATAACAACCCATACTCTTGAGTTGTTGTTACATGCAGATCAGACCTATGGGTTGCCATTGAAGCATGGATTTTATTGAATGAATGTTGGCAAGTAATATCTCTGCATGGGCCCTGAAAATATTTTTTTTCAAAAATATAGCCAGTCCACAACTTGTGCCATGGGAAAAAAAGTTACTGCTACATCTCAGCTCCATTACTGAGGATAGCTGTTAAAAATATAAATAAGTTTCACAGAGTCTTTATTATGGATATTGGTTAATACTTCTACTTCAGCTAATGTCAGATTAGTTTCTCAAGCAAAATATACACATGTGTTTTTAAAATGAAAATGTTGATGCAACATATTTAAAAACCAGGTCTGAAAATGAACATTACTTTTCAGCTTATAATTACTAATTAGTTCTAACCCTGAGATTTCATAATTCGTTTTTGTTTAAAAAAATTGTGAACCCTTTTGAAAATAGATGACTCTTAACAGCTCAGTCCTAATTAGTGCGACACCTACTAACACTTGATGTACCTATATTCTTCTCAGTGATCACTAGAGGTCACCAGAGTCATGGTAAAGAAATCTATGCCAGTAAAAATACAGTAGTGATCCTTATTTGTATTTCTGCTATTTCAGATACTGGACCTCCAGCTCCTATTGTTGCTCGTTTTTTGAACACCAGAGCTATGAAGGAAACATTTAGGAGTTATATGGAACTACTTGTTAGCATTGCCTTGGATCCAGATACTATGCTGGCATTGGAAAAGAGTAATGGTACAGTGTGCTGTTCATCTTTGTTGGTTTATCTTGTTAATGTTTACTGCATTATGCTGCCTACAGCCAAGGATCCATGTTACATGTTTCTGTGCATGAATGGAAAGTTTTCTTTATTCTTCACTGAATGTCACTTCAGAAGGTCCCCAAGACCAGGACTGGGCAGAAGAGAGATTCCAACTGCCACAAACTCCTGCCAGTATGACCACTGGGCAGGAATGCTGGGGCTTAAAGTCCTAAACTTCTTGAGAGATACGTTCTGCCCATCCTGACCTAGACATTTGGGGATGGCTTTTCAGAAGCCCTCTTCAATCCTGGCTGAGGCATGAATTGATTTTACTTTTCCAGTAGAATGTTAAAGTATGTAACAGATAATTCTTGTAGTCAGTATCGAAATCTTATGGAAAACAAATGGTACTCTTATAGCATATTAAAGCATACTTAGAATAAATACTATTGCTTAAAATATATAATTTACATAAAAACTTACTTTGAAATCTGGAAGAAGAATCCAGTCCATTTCAATGAAGTTTACAGTTTGTGCCAAATATTCTTATGCAATGGATCCAAATTTGAGAGAGGAAAATTAGAGGTTATATATATTCTTAATAGGAACATAACTAGGGGCATAAATCCATTGAATGCTCATAATCCTCTGCAGAGGTTTTTCTGTAAAATGAGTCATAGCAGAGATGATCTCTGTGCCCCTGCTCTGAAAGTCTAGCTGAGGCACTTCAGACAGGGAGGAAAGGAAGCTGGAATGCTGCCATGATCCCGTGTATCCTGGGGGTCCCAGACTCCTCCCTCTCATTATAGTGTTCCCTTTAATCTTAAGATTGCTGTGACAGGCAGGGAGGAGTATCAAAGTGTAGATCCCTGCTCTGAGGTCAGAGCTCTATTTCTGACCTTAGATCTGGGAATCCAAAGAATCCTGTGGTCATACAGATGCTGTCAAGAGGCCATAAGGCCATCACTTTGCTCAGATATCGAGGTTAGATTAATCCTACCTCCTCATAGACCGTGGAGGGTCTTTTGGCAGTTATAGGAGGCCTATAAATATGTGAATGAATGAATGGATAAATTTATAAAACACTGGATATACACATGGCGCATTGACAATAAGGACTTTTTTTTAAACAAGCAGACCTTCTGTTTTAGTATTGCTGTTATTTCCTGTGGGCTATTTGAAAATACGTTCTATTACAAAAATAACTGATGTCCAAAAGGCCCAAATATCTGATATACCAGAAGCCACAGAGAGGTGCATTTTCTGCTATCAGGCTTATATTTCCTTTCCATTCTGCTCAATGGCAAAAGTGCCTTTTTGTTAACAATATCTATCAAGTTTACAGGAAATCATATATTACTATGTCTGTCTTGCCAGCAACAAATCTTGGGTTAACTCAGGTTAATGCTCAGAGGCATCTGAACCTTTGCCCTGCAATGCATGCTTGAACATTGGGAATGGATATACAGACTGGGAATGGATGTACAGATTTGAAGAGGCAAGAAAGCTGGTGATTCTCGCTAAAAGCCTTGACAATAATGTGTGATACATTACACATGTGTAATG